TTTACGGGTCCCAAGACGTTCAACCAACGAGAAGCTCAAAGCAGGCCGAATCCACGCCAATCGAAGGTCTTTTGCATAAATAATAATAATAATAATAATAATAATAATAATAATAATAATAATAATAATAATAACTAATGGGACCTTGTTGCCTCAATCTAAAAGTTGTCTATGGACTATGCTGGACCATTTTATTTAAAGATGAGCATTAAAATAGAATGCTCCGCTGCTGTCACAATCTATTGTATGTATATATGTATACATTCGCACGACCTAATTCATTTACTTCCGATGCATATACTTTATGAACTATAATTAAGATAGGGATCGATCGGCTCAGATTCTGCAAAATTTATAGAGAAAATAACAAATATTAGTAATTACTTGACATTTGATACCATAAAATTCACAATTTTAAATGATATTTCACCTAACATTTATCAACTCGTGTAGAATTTTTACTGGAAATTGCGGGCTTCGTTGTTTGTTTGTTATTTAAATTCGTGAAGCCACACTTGATGTGTGTGATGTTTATACATATAAAAGAAAATAGAAAGTAAAAATTCCAAAATGTTTGAAGGATTTGAATTTGGATATTGAATTACTTGAGATTAGTAAGGAAGGATGCCTTCATAGAAAAAATTAGGAAAAAATGAAAAATAAAAACACAACTAGTGCAGTGAGACAGTTGTTATCTTTTAATTTTTTACTGGCCATTTGTTTTTGGGTCAATATTATCATGTTAGTTCTTGGACCTATAATATATTTCGAAGCCCAGGATTGGTACAAAGAATAACGGACCGCAGGCCCACTCAAAGTATCACATTGATCCTTCCACTAGCCAGCTTTCCAATTTATCTACCTGAATGCAATGCCGATCTATCCACTACAATGAATATTTGATGATTTGAAAGGATCTATATGCAATTTTAATAATTTTAATTGTATTTTAATTTTATATATGGGTCAAATTTATAATTTATAAAAATATTATAAAAGATATTGTTCTTTATATATTTGTTAATACATATATATTAAAATAATAAATTAAAATATTGAATTAAAATAATATTAAAATATTATAAAATAATAAATAAAAACATTGGATTAGTAAATACATTTTTTATAATAAAACCAATAAATTATATTTATTGTTTAGGTTAATTCGATTAAGGTTTTATTTTGGATTTGCAAAAAAAAAAAAATCACACTGCATCATGCACAATATTGTTAAACTTAGTGACTATGTGACTGCAGGATAATGTTATACAAAATGCACATTAAAGCATTTGAGAATGCACATACAAAAATATATCAAACAATAGACTGATAATAATGATATACGAAATGCACATTATCGTATGCAGGAATGCATATTATTGATTTCGTTATTTTATTATTATGTCTTTTAAACCATGAGTAATATAAAATAGTAATTATAAATATTAAAATACTAAATATGATTTTATAGGATAAATAATAAATCATTTCGATTATATAGAATATGTTTGTTAACCAATTTCGGTTCAATTTTAGTTTGTTTAGGGACAAATCATTAAGAATTTATGCGTTGTCGGTGCACAATAGTGTTATATGAATTGCATGTTAACCACGAAAAAAATTCAAAATTAGTCTTATAATTTGGCCACTGTCCAAAAATCCACCCCGTCATTGACCACTTTCAAACTGGGTCCAATAATTTGACAATTTAACCAATTTTGGTCCTATTTTATCCGCACTCTGGATAAAATTGTGACCTGGCGTGACATGGCGTTTTTAAATTTGACATGGCGTGACGTGGCGACTTCATTTTGAATTTATAAATTTTAATTATGCCATGTGGAAATAAATTTCAGCATGTTAGTGGAAATAGGCCAC